CCCCAAAACCCCAAAACCCCAAAACCCCAAAACCCCTTAACTTCTTATTTGCGAATTATAGAAAAAAGAAAAATGAAATTGATGCTTTTTAAATAAAATGATTGGAACTCACTTATTCAAGAAAATGAGTCATATGTTCATAGGGTTGGAACTGGATCGAATTTCTTGTCATAAGCAACTTTCCATTGAGATGGGTCTGAGAAGTAAGGATTGTTGATGTAATCTATAAAATATTTTATTGAAAATAATGTAAATATAAGATTACTTCTTCTTCTTTGAGTCCATCTAACTGGTTCTTATTTAGCATATCTATGATAGAATACAGGGTCTAAAATGATATTAATCATTTGATAGTTTACAGTTTCCAAAGAATTGCAAGAACAGATAGAAATAGCCTACATCCAGAGCGAGTCTGAATCCCCAGTAGATCTTCATTTTCTAATTAATATATTTTAAAATTATAATTGAGGAAATTTATTGAGGGAAGAGGCAAAAGATTAGATAGGGGTATAACTTTAGAAAATTATATAGAATTCTCAAACTTCTTAATAAAATTATTTCTGTAAGGTGAATTAGGAATGATGGTCATTTATTTCTATCGTTAATCATACATATTTAACTTTGCTTCATTCAATTTTGCATTACAAATTGTTGTTTTTATCAATATTACTCTGATTCTAATTGCTAAGGTTGCTTCTCTCATTGTATGTAGCACTCATTGTAGATATAGAACCATATGTCTTTTCTGTAGATTTACTATCTACCCTAATGCTTGATTTCTCTCCTTCAAAAAGCAGATCGGATTTTTAAGTTTCATCATCAATTTGAATGCTAAAAAATTTGTGCTTTAGGCATTCTTAAGCAGATGGACGTTTTGCTGGATCTTAGACAAACATAAACTCCAGCAGTTATTAGAAGCATTTATGGTCTTGATTCCCCCTTTAGAGATAAACAAGCTCCTAAAATATTATTCTAGTTTACAATTCAAATCTTACCTCAGCAGTTTTCATCAATTTTATGTTTTTATCCCTCATTGACTTCTTTAAGACCTCTCTTTGATTAAGTCTTTTCCCACGTCTTAAAATGTCAGACTCCTGAGTTTCAAGATCAAAGAAATCTTTAAATTCTGGAGAATCTTTAGCCATCCAAAGTGGAAAAGGTCCACATTATTTCTCAATCATCGCTAAATGCTCAAGATTTTCATGAGTTGGATAAAACATTTCGCCTGTATATAATTCTGCCAAAATACAAGCCATAGACCATATATCACTTTTCATATCCCATTAGCAACATTCTATAAATATAATTAATTATGATTTACCAAGAATAACTTCTGGAGCTCTGTATTATCTGGTGTTAATTGTAGTTGTGTGATGCTCACTCTCGTAGGTAGCACCACCAAAGTCTATGATTTTCACTCCTTCAAAGTGAGGCTTGCACCAGACTGACGAAATAGGGCCCTCCTCTGTAGCTTTTGTTGCTCTTTGATCAAAATCTTTCTCAATCTCAAAATCACTATCGCATTTATCACTTCCAAACAGTTCTTTCTTATTCAAGACATTCTATATGAAATTATATGTTAAAAATGAATAATTACAATAGGCCATATTTCTCTTTTCTTGATGATATGATGTCCATTCTCAATAAATAGTATATTCTCAGGCTATATTAAAGAAAATATTTAGAAAAGTAAATATTACCTTTAAATCTGTATGTGTAATTTCATAGCCATGAAGAAATTCTAAAGCTCTGAGGGCCTATTTCCCAATTGATTAAATGTGATTGAGAGAGAAGCCTAATAATTAAGAGAATGAATATTGGCCTTGCTTGGTCATGATATTAAAAGTAAATTAGCTTGATTTATTTCTGAGAAAGCTCACTCGATTCAAGGTAATCAAGATTCGCTATCTCAAAATAGCTCACTTCAAGGAAAGGATTGGTTCGTACCCTTGTAGCAATTAGCCTTAATAAAGTCATAGAGACTTTTGCCAAGTGTTTCAAAGACTAAACACATATGTTCACCTTCTTTATCTTTATGGAAGAAGTATTCCTTCATATGTACAATTCCGCACTTTGATCCTCCTTTTTTATCAATGTCTTGTAAAATGTCTGCTTCAATCTTTGCTGATTCATTGTATCTTTTTACAGCTCGAATAATCTAAAATGTTTTGCTATTAGATTTTAACTTACTTTGACTGCATAAGCCTTATTTTCAGTCACATGAAGGCATTTTAGTGCTCTTCCAAATGTTCCATCTCCAAGATGCTCATCAACCTTTAGATTCAAAAATTAAGAAAATATATTACTCTATAGTCTCCTAGCATTTAACCTATTCTAAATCTGTAGTGTCCTGCATCACCATTTTTCCTTGTTCCAGATCTAATAGTTCCGCTACTACTAGATCCTCCGCCACTACCGTAACTTCTATCAGCATTTTTACTGGGTTCTTAGGAATATGAACTGTAAGTATCTTTTCTTTTCTCCGATCTTCTCTTTTTCAAATATTTATCAGATCTTGAATCTCTTGAATATTAAGCTCCTTTATATTGATAATGATGCCCTTAATAATGACTTGATTTCTCAAAGAATCTATATTCTCTACTTCTAGATCTTCTTCTCTTTAAATACTAGGGTCTTTGATGATATCTGTCATTCTTTTAGTCTCTCTAGCTCTAAAATAAAAATATTTTCATTGTAGTTACATAAGCTGGAACCGTATCTCTTCTGTCATAATCATACCTTCTTGAGGAATATTTGCTTTAAGTTTCACATCGATATCCTCCACTTCTCTATGAATGATTTTCATAATCTAGGATAATTTAATCAGAATTTTATGTTTTTTACTTCTTGAATAGTTCTAATACTACTTATGAGTAGATTGCTCTCTTTATAAATATTATTGATGAGATGTTAGATTTCGATGATCTCTTGAATTATAATTATCATAATTTCTTTCATCTCTTCTAGAAGCTTCTTAATTATGATGATGAGGTTCAATATATTTGTTAGAATTGTTATATTGATGAGAATTTTTATAATCTAGTAAAGTAATTAGAGAATATTGTTTAGTACCTCGATTATAAATATCTCTGGATTATTATCTCTCACCAGATCTATGATAATGTGAGTCATACTATCTATTCTCATATCTGTCTCCTTTATACGAACTAAAATAAATAGAATTAATTATGATGAAATTTACATTCTATTTTTCTAATATTATTCACCATCTCCTTAGGTATTTTGTCTTTTTAATTAGGGAGACTCCAGGTATCTACTTTTTCTAGATTAATCACAATATCTATCTCTGCTAGATTATTAATGATAACTTGTTTATCTTAATGGCTATTCATTTCTAGTGTAATGAGGTGACTTAGTTTAGTCCGATCTATAATGATTGTCCCTCTCATTTCTGTAATTTTTGCCATCTATTTTGATAATGTTAGTCATCAATCTTGAAATTTTAGAAAATATAATTATAATATTTATTATTTAACTTACAATTAGATGATTCTCTATATTGAGTCTATTTGGTTTCATAAATTCTCTCCCTTGAGTATCTTTGATTTTCATTATTCCTATGATGCTAGTGATAATTGGCAGACTAATGATTGTCAGAATTATAGTTGCCTTAATTCTTTCTTATACTTTCCATTTAATTGACTTGAATTTATTAATAATATTTATAAATTACATATCACGTCTTGTTTTTATCAATTTCTATCATGGGGTTTTGGGGTTTTGGGGTTTTGGGGTTTTGGGG